ATTTTTCCTGTACACTTTTCACTTTCACATGTTTTTTTTTTTTATTTATTTATTTTCATTTAATTTTCTGTTTTGTCTTTGAATCGGGTCTAATTATTTCTTTGAGAGAATAAATATAACAAATGTTTTCAAAAATTGTAATTTTATTTAGTAAACTTTAAACTAAAATTTTGTTTTAATCTTCATACAAAAATATTTTTTAGGTTTTACATTTGTTTTCAAACTAATTTTAAAGACGATCTTTTTTTATTTTTTAAATACTTTGCTTTTTTTTCGATTAAATTGTTGATTCTTCTTTTGCCATTTCTGTCCTGCTTTTCTTCCTATATTTCCTACAACTTTGCTCTTCTTCTTTCCTCCTTTTGTCTTTTCTTTTTTTGCTTCTTCTTTTTCTTCTTCAGTAGCTGTTCCTTCTGGTTCTTCTTCTTTTTCTGCTCCTGTTTTAACTTCATCTAATTTTTCCGCTTTTTCTTCTTCGTTTTTTCCATGTTCAGTCTGCTTTCTGGTTTCCGTATTTGCTGGTATGTTATCTTTTTCTTGTTTCGTTATCTTACTATTCCACATATAAGTCAGTTGTTTATTACCCATGTATGTTCCTATAGCTTAACTTGTTTAATAAAAATGGTTTTTCCCAAGTCTTCGTGTGCATCCGGAATGCAGCTGCATTCCGGATGCGTTAAGGGGTGGGCAGGAGGGAGGGACGGACTGAGAAACTGAAAAAAGTACGTTACGTAACGGTAAATATTAAATAAACTTACCTATATATGGATCCTTGAACTTTAAAGCAATAAGGTCCACCACCCGGAATATCAATTCGATTTGCAGAGAAAGAGGCAAAAGCAACAGCACTATTATAATTTCTGATATGCTTTATGAAATTTGGAGAATATAAAAATAATGATTTCAAATCGGTATTTGTCCGAATACTCGGTAAAGAAATTAAGCCATTTTGGCAGCAGTTATTAAAATGAACATTGGACATTTCACCCTGAAAATGGCGAGCATCACAATGATGACAAATTATATTCATTGAACCGACTGAAAATTTGGTAACAAAATTTTCATCAAAGTTCTGATCATCAATTTTATACTTCCGAAATGAAACTTTGATTTTCTATACTAATAACAGAGTTAAGTTCTTGCTTCACTAAACGAACATGCGAAGAATTCTGGAAAACGCGACCACGTTTTGGAGGACGACCGCCTCGGTCATTGAAAATTTCACTCATAACAGCTGTTAAATTTAAAATTAAAATTAGTAAAAATTATTATTATTTTAACAAAATCATAACTGAAAAGTTCAATTTTTAAATTAAAAAAAATAAATCAGAAGAAAAAGATGAAATGAAAATGGAAATTAATAATAAACATATTTATACACATTGAAAAGAAACAGCGTGAAAAGTTCTGATCGGAAATGAGAAAAAAAACTTGGATGTTATTGACTTAATGAGGAAAAATTGGCAATAGGAAAAAGATGGAACCAATCATGAAAAACCGTAAAAAAAAAACGCGGGAAAAGAAAAATGTAAGTTGATGGCAGTTGAGTGTTGGAAGTAACCTCACTTAATGATGATTGTTGAATGAAAACAGCTGATAAAAAGACAGCAAACAGTAAAGTAAGATGCGTAGCAACAAAACTTTTCCGAAAAACAAAAAACAAAAAACCCCCACTTCCCCTCATCCAATTTATGAGTTTTTAGGGATTTAAAAATCGGGGACGAACCCCAGAAAATAATTTATAGTTTTCCCGAAGCATTGAGAACAACACCTTTCAAATGAACCAACGCCCCTCGCAATTAGTACAGTGGTTGATTCACAATTTCATTCTATTTTTCAAATTAAATATTAAGATTTCACTTTTGTAAATCATCTTTATGATACCTCTGTGCAGAGTGCAAATTTTAATTACTATTTTATGGATGCGCGAAGGCTAGGAAAATGTTTAATCGGCTGGAAAACGCTAATTAATTGTGTATCTCCAAACTTTTATTGTATTTTTTTAGACGCAGCTCCTCATGGTTGCTCTTCTATAAGCAGTATTGCGCAATTATTTTTTCTTTTTCCCATTTGGAGGTCACTCGTCCTCTCACCTTTAACGCTTAATTAGTCATTTGTTTTTGAAAGGGAGCAAGTTCGTTTTGTATGAGCTCTAAAGTGTATAAAACACTTGCTTGCTGGAAGTAATCTAAATACGATATTATTTCCTTTCGAAAATGACTGATCCAATTTAGGCAAAAGCCTTGGAAGTACAAGGAAAAAGTCTACGCGAATAGAGTCCGAAGGATTAATCCATTTTCCTTTGAAAATTTTCATTTTTTCCTCTCAGATTGATCACTGCAGCGACTTAAGAAAAAAATTGACTAGTGTAACGATATACATATCTTGCTTTCCGTGGATAATACACTTTTTCAATGTAAAAACATTTTAAACACATACTAACAAATAGTTTCATGATTTCCTCATTTTTAATGGTAGCCCTGGCGGATTTTTCTCAAGTGCCGGAGAGCATATGTTCAGAATTTTTTACGAAAGGCTCGTATATTTTTGGAAATGAGAATACACACGTGAATCCATTAAAGGTAGGGAAAACCTGTTTGTTTGCACAACTCGTTTTCTTCCCCTATAAACTAATTCATTTAAGAATTGCTCATAAAATCTATTTATATTTGACTGAGATCATCAGGGGCACGAAAATTAGTTCACTGAAACCGACGGCGCTAGGCTGAATTTTAAAACTGATTTCTAAATTTAAAACTAGCAAGTACTGTGATAAAAACGATTTAAAATACCACTCATTTGGTTCATATTGGGCATCAAATGTTATTGATAAATAAAATAAATCATGCATTTAAAAAACATTCTCCAAAGCGCTTTTAAGGTAAACGATCTTTAAATCCCCTGCCAACGGAATGATATGTTAAAGTTTTAACAGATATCAATACTTCTTGCTGTAATCTTGGGCCAGTTCTATTTATGTATCGTGTATTGTATGTAAAATTAACGATCCACGGTGTTTCCGATCATTTTGTTTTAAAAAATAAAGAGACGATCCCGTAGGAAGATAGTATAATTGCTTTAAACATTTTGTTTATTCGATTAAAATGCTCTTCATGCTAGGAAAGAAACTGATACCTTTTGAATTCAATTCGAATCAGTGGCGTGGAATACTTTGCGATATATCGAATGATCTGTCATTTAAACCAATGTAAAAGGATCGATAAACAGGGTGTTTGCAGCAAACACCTTACTGATCGATTATTTACCATAGGTTTTAATGGCAAAACAATCGATACAGTGCACTTCACGCCACGCCACTGATTCGAATGAATTAGAGGGATACGGCCTTAACCTTAAATTTTGTACGATCAGTGAGGCGTGAATGATCGATTTTCAATGTTTCCTCTTTTGAAGCTATAGTGAAGAATCGAGTATTAATGTGTTCGATGCAAACACCCTGTTTATCGATCCTCTTCCCTAGTTTTAAATGGTAGATCAATCGATATACCTCAAAGCACGCCACGACACTGGTACGATTATGTTAAAACAAAGACCTTCCACCACGGCAGAATTTTATGAGACCAGACTTTCAACAAGGAAAGCAGGGAGCCGTTGTGATAAATAAAAAAATCAACGCAATATACACACAGAGAGGAAAAATGTGGACCTCCGATTAAAAATGGGAAAATTATCGTTAAATTTTATATTTTAGATTATTTCCATATCTTTTATGGTTACGTTCTTCTTTATCTTAATTTTTTCAGCGCTGTAGCTATGCGTCAAAAATTTAGAGTAATTTTTAATCCTGTTCGCAAAAAAGAGGAAAAATATGTCCCCGAGATTTTTCTCTCTCTTTCCAAGTAACTCATTATATGATTTATCTTTCTCAGAAAATTCCAATAGAATCACGACCTCAACTTTAGTCAAATGTTATATTGTGAACACAATACAAAATGTATGTTGCATAACATCTTAGCTTGACAGCCGTTCTAATTAAAATAACTCCAATTCGATCGCTCTCTCGGTACTGATTGGAGCTGAAACTCCTATAAAATCTTCATGAATCAAGATGGATATCATTTGGCAAACAATAAATCATTTTCAGCGAATGTCACATTGTGACTCACGTTTCACGTCCTTGTGCAGCTTTGAGCAATGACACTTTGAAAGAAGTGTCAACCGAGATCTTAAAACTTCCGACATTTGAGAATATGGATTCGAGCATATAATTAGGATCATCATTTGTCGGAGATATTTTAATAATGGATTATGGAAATTGGGTCTGTGAAACAAGATCTGAGTTAAACTCTACATTGCACATTTTATCTTCAAAATCTTACCTATGCAAAACTTAACTCATACGATGAAAATCTCTCAATCACATCTCGCGATTAATACTACGGTATTGAACATGAAAAGATAACATTTTTTAAAAAATTGTTTCAATCGAAAACTGTCAGTCTTAACTCAGTATTTCTGTGTTTTGAAAACGGGTTTACAAATTTTTGCGACACGGATTTAAGCGTTTCCCCGCAGATTAATATAAAAATTGATCTGATGCAATATTTTAATTTGACCAGAGACTATAGCCCTCCATTCCTCTATTATAAATACATGACAACACTATCAGGGCTCCATCATCCAAAATCTTCTGGCTGTGGATGAATTTGTGAGATTAGCAAGCCTTCCGCTTGGTTAACTTGTTGCACATTCTCCTGAGTGGTTAACGAGAAGATGGCTATTTCTGCTACCAAAAAAAACCATGAACCCCCCACCCCCATCCAAAAAAATAGTTCCCATTAATCTTGATGGCACAAAGAATTCATTTGCACTTGAATCAGATCTGATGTCTGATTATCTATTTTGCCTCAAATCGGGGTAGGTCACACGTTTTCAGGTTTCTCAATAACATCACACGTAAAAATATTTAAATATTTTGCACATTACTGTCTCGTCATTTGCAATTTTTTTGAAGATGAATATTTATTTTCTTGTTTCAGATTTCTAGGCTGACAGATAACCGAATATGGAGGGAAATCCATTGCAGAAGGGAAGGTCACTAGAAGATCACGAACATTTAAGGATAGACAAAGAGAAGAAAAAATGCTGCACCCCATGTAAGTAATTTTATTAATTTTTTAACCCCGAGCCAAAAGATATCAAACTCAAATTTTTGAAAAAATCGAGTCAGTGTCGTTTGAGAAACCTCCAATGACGGTTCTGTGTGTGAAAAATTGGTAGCCCTACCTCAAGCCGGTCATGAGGTATGGAATTTCATAAATTGCGATTTACATTGAAATTAAAGGGGCCGACGCACTGATTTTTCCTGATAACTCGAAATGACGAAAATGGAGTTGGGTACCTTTTGACCCTGGGACACTGATATGCCTTTATCAGAATTAGCCAGAGATAGAGGCTCCTCATTTCTAAACGGACCGCGTTTTGCAGAAAGGAACCAAGCCTCATGAGCAATTGCCAAATTTAACTGGGCGATTCGATTTTTTACAAGAGAACGTTGAGCAAATTTATTTGAAAATTTCTAAGAATTTGTTTCGTACTATGGAGTAAATTCACTGAAATTTGCACAAAAATCCGCACAACCATTTTCATGTAAAAATTAAATTGCCAAATTAAATTTGGCAATGGCTGATGTGGCTCATTGTTAGTTCCTCTCTGCTAAGCGCGGTCAAAAGAGGGTGGCAAAATTTCATGCAAAATAAAATCTTGAAATTTTACGTGAAATATTTCATGAAATTTCAGAAATTTATGTAAGATATTGAAAAATACCGGTTCCTTTTCATGTTCGCAAAATGTAAAGATCGTGACCTTCTCTGCTAATTTTGTGTGCCTCAGTGCGGGTTGCATACTCTAGCCCCTGCAAAATATGAAATATTTCACAGCTTCGTGAAATGTCATGAAATATTCCACTGAAATTTCAAATCTTTCATTTCTTTCTCACGTTTCATGTCACCCTTGGTCGAAATATACCTTCTCCAATTGAAGATGTTGCATGTGTGAGGGATTTGCGGTTTGACCATTGATTCTTATGTAAAAGTTCACGAGAAACACGATGGTGCCACTGATTTTCTCTAAAATCATCTCCCAACCTCAAAAAAAGCTCTCAAAGTGAGACCAAAATGGAGGGGATATCCCACCCTACCCTGAGAGTCCACCTCTACATCAAAACAAACTCTCCATGCAGAGATAGGGAGCAAATACATTAGGAGGGTTGCCACTTTATTTGGGGACTCCAAAACTGAAAACACGGCAACCCTGTTTTTGCACCCTATCTTTGCATGGAGAGTTTGTATTGATGTAGAGGTGGACTCTCAAGATAGCGTGGGATATCCCCTCAATTTTGGCCTCAACTTGGGAGCTTTTTTGAGCTTGGGAGTTAATTTCAGAGAAAACCAGTGGCACTATCGTGTTCCTCGTGAACTTTTTCATAAGGATCAATGGTCAAATCGCAAATCTTTCACACTTGCAACATCTCCATTCTATGTAAAGATATTTTTACCTGTTGGATTGGCGAAATTACTCGAGGTTCCGCACTTGTTTTGATGAAGATCCGTAGCTCGGGGCAATGGCGTTCATCTCACTTTCGTCTTATCGCATTGACCCAGTGGCCGACGGCCGCTGACGAGGCCGAAACCGGGCCGATGCCCTCCGGCGCCTGGAAACGTGAGCGCCGGCCGCTGACATAATAACCGTCTCTCATTATCACTCATTTCTCGTGTCTTCCACGCCGATCTCTCATCAGAGTTCGTTCGCCTCCGAATACTCGATCGAATTTAAAGTTTGTTTCGTTCAAAGGTCGTTACCGCCCTGTTCTTCTTAAAAAAAGGGGGAAAAAATGGGTTTTGATCATCTCTCAATAAATTGTCCAATCCGATTGATAACTCGATGTTGGATCACTAAAAAAGGTGCGAATTTAGCGTATTGATATTTCTCTCTCTCGAGACGGAAGGCTGCCAAAGAGTTGCTTGATAGGGTTCCTCCTGCGAGGAGACGAAGGGGACGCACAGTGGGAAAAACAGCCGATCTAGCGCCGAAAAAGTCTTGACGCGCGGGGCGTTCACTTTCCCATTGATTTTTCACACTTAATCCGTCTTATATATCTAATCATACACTAATAATAACATAATGCGCCGATTTTTTGTAAATTCAAGAGTTATTGAGCCAAATTTAGTCATGGGATCAGCTATAATTTACTTTCCTTGAGACTGTTTTGGTTTATGGTATTTGATCAGCCAGTAGAGTAAAATAAAATATTTCTCGTCGTTTATGCTATTGTCGGTTACTTTTTTCATTATCCTGTCCAAGTATCTTATTTCCCACCTTTTTTTGGAAAAGTTTGTGTGCCTATGTGTTAGTGTTTCAAGGTGAAGTTAAGAGTAAGAATGAATTTAATCCGCATCGTAGTACTAAAGATGTGAATATAGATAAGATTGACATAGTAGGTAAATGGCATGTATTCAATACTAAGAGCAAATGAGGAGAAAAATCACACTAGAAATTTTAAATTTCCTAAAAAAACCGTTGCACAGTGGAATATCTATTACCAATCAACGGATGATAACGTTTCCTAATTTTTATTTCTCATTCCTGTTAAGATAACAATTAAGTTCCGAACATTTAATTTATCATGAAGTGTTCTAAAATAGGAAATGTAATAGTGGAAATCCACATTGTCATTTTACCAATACACATTATTTTCATAAAGGTAAAGTGAAGTATTGTCATTATTCGGAAATGTTGGCAATTAATTCCTTTCACTCAATGCATCTAATGTTTTTCTCCTCAAGACTTAATGTGAAGTAAAACAATTTTTTTAGTGCAGCAAGTGTCAAGTAAAACTGAAAATGTGCACGGAGTTAATTAATAAATTTTCTCCTCCGGGCAGGATCGAACTCATAACATTCAAAATAGGAACGAGTGATCCTACCAGTTAGGCTATCATTTCAACTCTTCAGATGTTACTGAAACAGTTGTTTATAAGCACTCGTTGCCTGAGTTGCGCGCGCAGCACACTGCGCACGCACTCACCCCATGCGACGCTGTGATCTGACGCCAAACCCAACGGTTCACATTCATTCTGAGCACATGTCCAGACTTGGATTTCATCGAATTTCTCTGAAAGGCTCACGAAGGCTGGTTTCAACCAAGGATTTTTGTAATCTTGATAGTATGACGAGTACGTAGATGTAAATATCTCCGTGAATCTGCGTGAATCTTGGAAGATGCAGTCTTTAGAAGTTTGAATTTGTGACTTCTTCGAAGGCTAACTTTAAAAAATTGCTGTAGCTCAAAACAGTGTATATAAGAGACCAAAATGGTATCCTTACTTTTAGAAAGGTCAGTTATTGTAAAAAAAAATCAAAAGTAACTACATGACGCACTTCAACATACACACGAGGCTACTGAATGTAAACTCTCAGAGGCGGTCCTCCACCAGCACTGCGCTATCCGGTGCGTTTCTAATGATTATCATTGATAAAATCGACCGTATGAAGTCAAACATGACTGATTCTTGATCAGTAGATCCTCAGGAACACATACATACCAATTTTGGCCATTTTCATTGATGTCGATTTTCCGACTTTTTCGGCGCTAGATCGGCTGTTTTTCCCACTGTGGGACGCCCAGTGAAAGGGTGGCGACGCAACAGGGGGTTTTAGAAGAAATAAGAGTTTGCCAACTCCGTGAAGGGCATTGAGAGGATAGGGGACTTTGGCGGTTAGGAGTCGCAGAGCGCCAGAGAGCGCTATAAAAGCGGCTTTATACATACATCTTTCTCTCTTTAAGTTACATAAACTTTAATGTTCCTGACGTTGAATGCGGAGCTGAGATATTGAACTAGGTGGTTGAGACGATTACCAATCGAGACAAACATCAAATTTAAGAATGAACACCTCTATATTATAATGTATCAGTACACCATGAACGAATGTTGACTTGCAAATACTTTTCCTGAGGATAAATGACGTGTGGAGCACGATGCGCAGTGTGAAAAAGTAACTCAGAAACTGAGAATTACACAGCTCCAAAAGCGCGACTTTTCAGAAAATCTGAGATGTCCCGGTTTCGCGCCGAACTGAATAATGTCATCCGGCACCAATGAGACTACCGCAACAGTTGGGTTGGTAACCTAATTTATCGGGATAATACCACAATTTTAAGCACCGTAATCAAATTGGGTTTTAACCCCTACACTGGTAAAAAAAACCTCTTGGTTCAAGAGTGCAGTTTCTTGTCGCCGGATTTAAGAGTCTGGACTCTTGTTTCAATGCAAAATCCGCTTGAATCAATGCAAAATCCGCTTGACACAAGAGTTCAAGACTTTTAAATCCGGCGACAAGAAACTGCACTCTTATAAGTCAATGCACCGCGGCATTGGTCCAAGAGTTTTTTTTTACCAGTGATACCTTTTTTTTCCGTGGTAGCATAGTGAGTATTGTTTTCGAAGCTTTGAAGTATTAATTATTCTGAAGTTGATCGAATACAGTCATTAAATTTTAATTTAAGACCGTTTTTGCAATCAATTTAGGAATCTTCCATACAATCAGTCTCAAGGAAATCAGCCGAAATTACGCAGCATTGCAATCGCTCTTATTGAAATTGCGGCTCTGACCTCTTCAATTTTATACCTCTCGTCGGGTGCGGTTTAAAAATAGGCTCTGACTCACATTTTCCGGGTTCGCTTTGCCAAATATTTTCGGTCTAGAATGTCCTCTCGAACGATCGCGGTTCTTTTTCTTTGTTCGGCCACGGGCGATTCCTTGCTCCTGATTGGTGACACGTTGTTAAACAATCGCACATTAACCGACGGCGATGTACAACGAGAACTTGGCACGTAGATTTCGACTGTCTCCTCTAGCGCTTGATGGATTGTTTATTCAATCCGAAACCTCGAAGCAATTGACTCGCTTACTGATAGACGGGTGTGAATCCTAAAATTCATGAGCCCTGGCTTACATTGATCACACTGGATGTTAGGGCTCATCAGTTTTGGCCCTAGGCCCGTCTAACAGAAACCGATTCAATTCTCACCGCGTACACGCCATCATGCTCACTTGACAATGAAAGCTGTATACATTCGAATTCCTCGAAAGTTTTG